CATTCTCAGGACCTTCCACGGGCCGTGCGCGCCTGAGTCAGAGCCAGCAGGTGCCAACCCCGAAGACCCAGGCCGGGGAAGCTTCTAGAGCTGCTGCTCGGGAGAGGCTTGTAGCACTGACATTAGTTTTGTGAAGGGCTTGGGGGATGGGAGGAAAGGGGAGGAAGGTGGTGTGTGTATGAGGGCGTTGCAAAGCCAGAGCAATTTGCAGAACCAAAAATGAACAGGGCGGCCGCCTCCCTGCTGGGACCCGCAGCGAGGGGACTCCAGCCCCGAACACGACTGTCCTCTCGCCCACCGCAGGGCCATCGTGTGTGGCCTCCGTGGCACTGCGCTTTCCTTTAAGATGGCAGTCACAGCTGATCCTGCAAACATGGGCTTGGGCCTGGGAAATTTCCATGACTGAGCCTCTCTGGACTGCCGTTCCCCAGTGGAGATGTGAACTCATAACGAGCAGCGGAAACATGCCGCAGCGCTTATGCGAGCCAGCCCCACGCTAAGCCCTTTTCCATTTCATTCTGTCAAACACCGAGATGCAGGCAGCATCTTTACAGCTGCCTTTACAGAGTCCTGGAGAGCTGCATGTGGCCCTGATCACAGATGTGCTTCCTGAGGAGCTTAGCAGAAATGAAATAAATGTTCGGGGAGGACCTGTGTCACCAAGACCTCGTCTGTGGAAGGCCGCTGCAGCTCTGGGCTGGGCGGCCTGAAATGCATTTAATCTTTGTTTCTGCCTCCCGAGCAAACCAAACAAAAAGCAGTAGCAAAAATGAAAAAATGTTATCACAGAAGACTAACTGCCTGGAGTGCCAAACGCGGAGAATCCCACGGGCGACCCTGAACGCCAACTTCACAGTCTGCTGCCCACGGCCGCCTGGAACACACAGGCAGGTAAAGGAGCGAACGCTGGGAACCAGCTCATGAGGGACCCCGCATCCACCTCAGCGCCCACGTGGGGTGAGGAGCCCCAGAAATCCCGGAGCCCAGAGCAGCTGCCGCCCCAGCCTCGGGGCTGGAACAGAAGGCGCGAAGGGACTGGCACCCTCGTCAGTGCGCGTGTCACTGTTCTCTCCTACTCTGTCCTAGCGTGTCCCACCCCGTCCACACATGACTAGCACTGTGCGGACGACGACGAAGTGGGCACTCGTCAACTTGTGACGCCAGACAAGCACACGTGTTGGTCAGTGCACAGGGCCCTGTGTGTCCGAGAGCGTGAGACGGTGTCACATGGTTGCTCTCCCCACCTGGCAAAGCACAGGGTGCTGGTGGAGGAGGAGAAGCAGCACCAGGATTAATGGAGGGGAAAGAAGATAGCTGTGGGTTGATGTTCACAGGCCAGAGGAGAGCAGTGACTAAGAAAGTCACTGAGCTGAAAATGACGTGAGCTCAGGCATCTCTCGGGTTACTTACAGCCCCTGCACATGAATTTAGTAAACGTTTGCTTAAACGCCTTTAAGGTGTTCTGAGCTTTAATGGCCACTGCCCCTGGGCCCCGTGGGGGTTAAGAGCACTTGCCGGTTCAAATCTGGGTTCTAGCAGCTTCTGTGTTTTACTAGCTGAATGATGTCAGACAAGTCGTATATCTTGAACCTGCTGTTTCTATGCCTTTAATAATGTGGGAAGGGAACTGTGTAGCAGCTCATGGAGTTCTTGTAAGAATAAACAAAGAAAACTGAGTTTGTTGCCTTCAATATTTAGCAAGTGGTTACTTGATGGTGTTTCGCAGGGGAAGCAGATGCACAGAGAAGGCGACTCTGCCTTCTGGGTGCCCCCTGCACATGGGTGGGGCTGTCTCTGGCCCAGGGTCTTTGTGCTCAGCCCCCACACTCACACGGACGTAACGTCCAGGTGACAGTGAGTCTTCATGCCTGGGTGGCTAGTTTGCACCGTCTCTGCCAAACACTAGCAAGCTAGAACTCTCACGAAAAGGTTGAGGTAGACGTTCTGGAAAATCACTCTAGATCTGGGATGATGGAAGGAAACCCAAAACACCGTGTAGGAGGAAGAAAAGACAGGCCACCACACCATCTGTAGTTGTGGTTTTGTGGGTTGACTCTGCAGATGGACATGCCACGGTCTCTGGTCCCATGTTGGCTCAGGCCACTCCCGCCGTGGTCGGCGGTGTGAGCTCAAGCAGGAAAGTAATATTAAATCCAAAAGCAAATCTGCTTCTTACACCCTCACCTCCCATCCATCTTCTTCTCTCTTTCAATCTCGTCCCCTCAAGCTTCGGGAAGCCAGAGTGATAAATGTGTTTTCTTTGCTCCATCCCATCACGGAGACAATGGGGACACAGCTGCACCGAGCCAGGAGCCAGGGCCAAGCGTGACGTGGTCACTAGCAAGCCTGCGGGCGAGTGAGATCAATCTTGGGGTTTGGGTTCTTTATCTACAAAATGAAGAGGAAAACAGGACCATTTATGTCGCTTTATTTAGCCTTTGAAAATAAACAAACAAATAGCCCTGCTGGATAGACACTTTATCTGTATTATGAGAAAATAAAAGGGCAGAAAAACGAAGTGCCACGGGCCCAAGGGGCAAAGAGAAACCTGAACTGAAATCTGAAGCTGGGGCTGTCACATATGAGCAATCCCCAACATTCTAGAATGCCTCTTCCTGTTCCTGTAATATGCCACTCAGCGGGGGAGTTAATTAAGAGCTGGCTGAGTGACAGTGAGTCATTTCTCCATCATTCAGGGTCTTATTCTGGGTAGATAGGGCTCTGAGGAGATTTGCTACACCCCTTATTTGGTCAACTGTTACATCATCTGTAGACCCTAACATTCTAAGAAATAGTTGTATTGCCATCGGAGGAAATATGATATTTGCTTTCTGTCTAAATGCTTCTTCCACTAAGAAAAAGTTTTCTGAAAGCCCTTCCTGTAGCCTTTCTTGGACACTTAATACTTATATGGTCGACTTTACATTCAGCTGATGAGGTCTGTTCAATAACAAACCAAAGATAGTTCGCACTTAGATATTTAAAAGACACAAGACCCATGTACAGTCAGGAAGTAGCATGATACTAGGAAGGGATTTGATTCTGGAGAAGGACGAGGGTGGGAAGGTGGTGGGTCAGGAGCACAGGGCGAGTAGGTAGCTGCTCACCATTGTAGCGGATCTGTCTTCTTTATTGTCAGTTACTCTGAAGTTGGACACAAATAAGAACTTGACATAACCTCAGCTATAACCTCTAAGCATAATGGCTGGAAGAGGGGTGTTAAGTAGGGCATGCCTCTCCCTACAGCAGGACAGACAGGAACACTGAGTGCTATCACCTCTTCCTTTCACAGTCCACCAGGTTTATCATGGAGCCTCATTCCTTCACATTGTAGGAAGTTCCTTTTTTTAATTGACATCACATTGCATTATAACAGCATATACGTTTCATGTGTTCATTGTGGAGAATCAACATGCATGCACACTACATCCTATAGTGCACAGCCGAGAATCCAGATCTACTTATCATACCATTATTGCCTTCTTCCCTCCCCCCCACCCTGTGACTCCTAAAAGATCATTGAGTCTAAAGTATATTTTTGTTGTACTGAGTGCATCTCTGAGTCCTCTATATAGCACATGAGTAAAATCACATGGTATTTATCCTTCTCTATCTTACTTATTGCATGAAGTGTAATAACCCTCTGGGTCCACCCTTGCTGCCACAAATGACAGGATCTCAGCTTTTCGTAGCTGAATAGCAGTCCATGGTGCGTCACGCCATGTCTTCTTTCTCCAGTTGTCCGTCAGTGGGCACTAAGGCTGTTTCAGGTCTTGGCTGTCATAAATAATGCTGCAAGGGCATACCTCTCAGATGAAATGGTTTTGTATTTTTCAGGCAAACTGAATCATATGGAATTTCCAGCTGTAATTTTTGGAGGGGAATCCCCAGGCTGCTTTCCATAGTAGCTGTACCGATCTACATTCCCACCAGCGTTTCGTCAGGCTGCCTGCTCACTGCATCCTCTCCAACACTTACTGTTTCTTATCTTTTAGGTAAGGTGGGAGGTGACACGCGGTCTTGATTTCCATTTTTCTAATAATAAGAGTTACGAGCAGCTCTTTGAAGGGTGTTGGCCATCTTTGGCCTTCTTTGAAGAAGCATTTGTTTCAGACCTCTGTCCATCTTTTAAATCAAACTGTTTTTTTAAATGTTGAGTCTCATGAATTCTTTGTATCCTTTAACATTAACCCCAGTCAGACGTATGACATGCAAGCATCTTCTCCCATTCGGTAAGGCACCTTTTCATTTCTTTCACCATGCAGAAGCTTTTTAGTCTGATGTAACCCCAACCTCTACAATGTTTGCTTTTGTTCCTCTTTCCATTGGAGCGATATCCCCACCCACCTTTCGAAGGCTAATGTCAAGAAGTAGCAAAGCCTCTGTTTTCTTGTATGCATGTCATGGTTTCAGGTCTTGTATTCAAGACTTGAAAACATTTTAAGTTGATTTTTGCATGCAGTATTTGATAGTGGTCTAGTTTCACCCTGTGTGTGTGGCTCTTCAGTCTTCCAAACCCCACTTGTTGAAGAGGCGTGCATAATAGGGGCTCCAATATATCTATGGGACTGACTCACCCCACCCTCATGATCGAGTGTTAAATATCCCAGAAGGCAATATGGGGGAGGGCTGGAAAAAGGGCTTGATGGTCGGAAGATGGGAATGGTAATAATGGAGAGAACCAAGGTGAGGATCTCACAGTCAAACTCGATAGTGGGAGTGGCAAAGGGCCCACAGGAAGGAGCAGAGCTAGCGCTGGAGAAGACGTAGCAGAAGTCGCCCAGGGAAGATGATGGCGTCTGGATCCTCCCTCTGCGTTTCCATCGGTGCCAAAATAGAGCCGATCACACTGGCACTTTGGGGACAGTCTCTGGCATCCCACTCTGTTTTGGTCCCTCCGTCTCTCAATAGTCCAAACCATCACTGCATCCTCAGTGACAGAGGATTTCTCTTTCTGTTTTCTGTTCCCATGGAGAGCCACTTCTTGGGCACAGGAGCCCGAGGATTCCAGCATCCGCCCTCCTGGACCCTCTTCCTCCCCAGTGACAACTTGGTATCAGAGAGTTGGCGCAAGTGGGGGTCTCTGCACACCCATCTTTTCAGATGAAGAAGCTGCAGTATGAAGTCATGAGTAGCTCACCCAAGGCCGCATACAAGTAAGTAGTGAAGAAAGCGGAGCAGACGCTGGAAGGCCACCCATTCTCACCTGCAGTTGACCCTCAGCAGGTACCAGAGTGAGGATGGGTGGGAGGGAAAATGCACCTGTGCCCCCCTTTGACTCTCACCATACAGACTGTCTACTTTGTGAGCCGACGCGTCCAATCCGCCACCCCAGGCTGCTGTCATTTGACACGTGCCTCCCTCCACATACCCGTCTTTGGCTTGTAGCCCTGGAGACCAGTATGATGCACTGTCGGCCCACAGACCATGCCACCTTCTGACCAGTGTTCCCATTAGCTATTCCTGGGAGAGAACGAGCCAGTCCTGCTATTCTCCACACCCTGGTTTGGGAGAGGTCGATGGCTGGAGCGAGGTCACAGATCAAGTGAGCAGCATGTGGCTTAAATCCGAATCAAGACCCTCCGTCCCAGCAGCCTCGGTCGGAGGGGCTGCCTGACCTGGGGCCCGGGCCACATTCCAAATGGGGCAATCTGGTGCGTGCTGCCTGTCTGAAATTCCCCTTGTGGTTTTGCTCACATCTGGTGTTTTTCACTTCTCTTTCTAAACACGTGCTTTGATCCTATTGCTGCTGCAGCAGGAAGATGTCCATGGCTCCAGGAGCGCCGTGAATTTAGCAAGAGGTGGGAGAGACCCCCTCGGCAGGACTTCTAAAAATAAACAGTAGCAGTGCTCGCATGTCACGCTTGAAGCACTTCCGGAAGCCCCTAAGTTGAGGCATTTCTGCACAGTCTCTCTGCAACCCCCCGAACCCCAAGTGCTGGAACTGCTGACCCTCCGGTGTCTGCCGGTGACCAGCTGGCCCGCAGCCCTGGAGGGTCTTCCTTCCGGTCATTCTCAGAGGAGGCCAGGCTGGCACGTGGCTCGGTGTCCTCCCTGCCATCTCTGCAGTCACGTTCCCCCGTCGGTTTGCACAAAGCGAGCTGAAGGCACTGAGCAGACTTGGCTTCCAGAGAGCCTTATCTGCAGTGAGTTTAGTTTTCCTGTTTTATTTATTTTATCAAACTCTGTGACTCATTCTACCCCTTACCTTATCTTAGTAAGCCTGCTTTTTATTATAAAAGCTCTTCCCTTCCATTTAAAAATCAGGGGATAAAGAATAAAGCAAGAACCCCAGGCCTCCAACACAACCATTATTTGTTTTCCTGCAAGCTTACTTTCCATGTGTAAGTCTGTGCGTTTTGCTTATTTTTTTTTACAGTGTCAGAATTATAACTTATATGCAAAATCTGTGGTTGCCTTCTGTCCTTAATAATTTATTATAAATGTTTCCCCGTGTTGCTGCATAATCTTGCAGCTTTTTTGTTTTTTGGCCTAGGAGAACTGGGGTGTAGGCCAGATGTGCTAGGGGTGAGAGCATTCACCAGAGACAGGGTGGGGAGCAGAACAGGCAGATGGATGAAGTGCATTGCTGAGGGGAGCAGCGGGGAGACACGAGAGGGCTGCCGCGCCCTGAGGGTCACTTCCAGGTTCGGGGATCAAAGTCAGGCTGTGTCTGTGACAGCACGGAGACCTGATCTCTAGGCCACCAGTGAGGCCCAATCTTGCAGATATTAAATTGGGACTGAAAGGGGCACATAAGTCTGGCGTAGGTTTGGCGAAGAGAATGAGCAAAAGGCAACAGGAAGGAACCAACTGTGGCTATCACTGGGCCTGATTCATCCCTACGTTGCTAAGATTTAGAACAGAGAAAACATCGCTGAGGACAGAGAAGCAAAAACAGCTCAAAACTTGGGAGTACAGGCCCTCTCTGGGGGCGCAGCGGGTTACAGCCCAGCACTGAGAAGCTCAAGCCGCTTCCGCATGAGTTCGATCCCCGCCTGCCCCGGAGGTGATCACATGGCGTGGCAGACCTCTCCTGACCCGCCCGCTGCTCCCCTCAGCAGTGTGCTTCGTGGATCTGCCTGTTCTGCTCCCCACTCTGTCTCTGGTGAAGCCTCTCGCCGTCCCTGCACCTCTACCCTGTACCCCAGTTCTGTATGCACAAATAAATAAATCTTTAAAAACAAAAAAAGCCCACAAACTTGGGAGTACAAGGGCTAGCTTCAAGTCCCAAACGGCTAGGTTCAAACTTTCAGCTCCCCTCCCTCCCGTTGAGAGAAATCGCAGGCGAGGCTGGTGTTTGGGGGGTCACTACCCCACCAACTCCGAAAAAGACCTCTTCTCACCTGTGGCCAGAAGAGGGGTGTCTGGGGACACCTCCAGGAAACTGCCCACGGCCGTGGCAGGCGCTGAGGTGTGAGCCGCGCATCCCTGAGGCTTTCAGAAAAGAAGCCCGGAGGCGGCCTCAGTGGCTGGGTCTGCATGCAGCACCCCGTTCCTTCCCGGAGGAGACCAAACCGCAGATGAAGAAGCGTCGTCGGGGGTTGAGGCGTCCCGGCGCACACAGTCTTCCTGCAGCCAGCCCTCGCTTTTCTGTCCCGATCCTCTGGAGCCCAGGGGTGCGGCTGCTGTGCTTCTCCCCCCGCCGAGCTTCAGGGCTGCTGGAGGCCTGAGTTGGCCCCTCAGGAGGGTCCTGGCCTGCGACAGGTGGGTGAGGGGCCGGGTCCTGTGGTGGGAGGAGCTGCTCTCCCCACTGTGTGCACCCCGTGGCCTCACAACGGCGCCCCTCGGACTACGGATGAAGACACTGGCCCCGGGGATTTGGCTGAGCGCTAAGACAAATCTAGGGATGCAAAGAAGAAAAGACCCAAAGGAGCTGAGAAAAATACGAAGCAGAATCACCCATCATCTGTCCCCCCAAAGCACTGCTAACTTTGTTAAAAGGATTTGTTTACCTATGCACACTGGGGTACAGGCCAGAGCGGGCACGCTGGCTCTGTGCCCCGGGTCTTCGCGCCCCACCCCGTGCCTACATCTGTCCCCCCTCCCCATCTCTGCGTGTGGGCGTGAACATGTGTGTGTTATGTCCATCACATACACAGGTTGCTTTTGTTTTCAAGACTGGTCACTCTGTCAGATGAGTGCAAAGCAGCAGGGCTCTCATGACAATGCATCGCTGACCAGGTGACCCCAGGTGACCTCCCCCCGCCCCTCAGTTCTGGAGGCTGCAGGCTAAGATGGAGGTGTGGGTAGAGCTTCTCCCTGTGGGCCCTGGGGGCTCTGCTCCAGGATGTCCACTGCCCCGGCGGCCTTCTCTGACGCGTGGCCCCCCTCAGCCTCCTCTGCCCAGCACGCGGCTCCCCCGTGTGAAGCTGTTTCTCCACACGGTGTCCGCGTACCAGGTCTCCGGCCAGACTGGCCCGGGCCTCAGCCTGCGCCAAGTGGCCGCACCCAGGCTTGAGCATGACCTTGACAATGATTCTCTTTCCGGATGAGTCCTCATGCTGGGGGGCTGGACTTCGGAACCGGGGAGCGGGGCACAATTCAACTCAGCAACTATTTATACAGCCTGGCGCTTTACTTTAGTGGTGTTTTGCTTCCTTTCCCTCACGAGCATTTCCAGGCCAGGGACATGTTTGCAGGGAAAGGGGCTGGACAAGGCTGAAGGTGCTTGTGGGCAGGGAGCGAGGCCTGAGCAGGCATCCTGGGAGCCGCTTGCTGTGGGGGGACGGGCAGTGGGGAAACAGAAGCTGCCCATCGCCATGGTTACGCACCAGGCAGGTTTGCCCTGGGCTCTCAGAAACTGCAGAGGAAAGGAAATGTAACAGGTACAGGTGTCACGGACTCCGCCCCCACTCCAGATGCTGGAACTCCAGATCCCATCAGTACCAAGGAGAAGCCGCCGGGATGTGAGGGCGGAGCTGAGCAGCCAGGTTGGGATAAAACCGGACACGTGGGCTCTGGGGGGACCTGGTGGTTCGCGGCGGATCGTTTTGGCTCCCCATCGCTTTCAGCTGCCGGTGGAGTCCAGGTCGGCAGAACTGGCGGGACATCCTAGTTAACCTGTGTTTCTCTCCCTCTTTCCCTGGGTTATTCCTTTACCTTTCTCCTTATAAATAAATCCATTATTGAACCTTTTGAGTGTGTCCATAATACGATTGAGTCGTAAGCGCGCGGGTGAAGACCCACAGACGGGCAACCCAATTCACACTGGGGTGCCCTGTAACAGAAAGACGCCACAGTCAGGACGGGCCAGCCTCCTTCAAGACCAGGTCGGGCTTCCCGGGACCGTGGAAGGCGACACCTGAGCAAACCAGAGGCAGACAAGACGCGACGAGCCAGGGAAGGCTTGGAGGTGGGTGTGGAAGCTTCCGCAGGAGGAAGCACCAGGACAAGGCCGTGACGGCACCTGACACCGTCAGAAGCATGTGCTTTTCAAGTCTAACTCTGACCCGCTTTCACTGGAAGTTGGGGCTCCATCGCTCAGCCTGTCTTTCTCAGTTTCCTCAACGGAAAAGGGGCCTGATCACCGCAGGTTGCTGTAAGAATAAAACTGAGACGCCGCGTATCGAGCACTCACTGCAGCGCCTGACGTGAAGGAAGCCAGCCACTCATCCCTTCCGCAGACATGTATTCTCTCCCGGTTGGGGCTCTGGTCGGTGCTAAATGGACAGAGGTCGAGGCCGCAGAGGTGGCCCCTGTCCTCACGGAACCTGCCCTCTCAAGAGACAGGCAGACACTTGAGCAAACACGCATACCAGCAAATCCATAAACATAAATCATCTGAAGAGAAAGAGCGTTTCTCAGAAAGGCGAGAAGGCAGGCTGGTTTC